TACAGAAGTCGGTCCTTTCCCAGCACAGAGCTCTCTACAGAAGTCGGCATCGCGTCCAGAAACACCACAGTCCCCTTCCTCCCATGCTAGGTGGGGCCACGTGACATAGCTGTTCCAAACGGAAGTGGGGTCTCCGGCCTGGGCACACAGTCTCTGCCCCCCCAGGGACGGCACAGCAAAAGGCTGCAGGGGACAGTGCCCGCATCCTACAGGGTGGCATGCTGCCCTCGTGGGTGGGACCAAAGCTCCCACTTTGAGTCACTGGAATTGGGGGGTCGTTTGCTCCAGCAGTTAGAAGTGTCCTGACTGAGTGATCACACCTGTCTCGTGTTGCTGGGCTTGGTGATGTGAACGAAACCTATCAGAACTCAGAGACAATTAGATGAGTGATGATGATGTAGGACTTCCCAGCTCTCAAGCATTCTAGTCTACGGGACAGCTCTCATGTGTGTGTTTTGTTTGTTTGTTTTTATGTGGACCCAGCTGGCAGAATAGAGTATGTAAGTCCCCTCCAGAGCTCCTGCTCCAAGGCCAGACCCCAGAAGGTGCCTTCAGGGATGAAGTGTACCCTTCCGCTTCCTACTCCCCTAAGAAGACGTGGACGCACACAGGAAGGGAGGGCAGCTGTGGTGAGTGTGCCCTTGCTGGCCTTTGTCCCCGGCTGCTGCAGGATGACTGCTGGGTTTCAGGGAAAGGCGATGCTGGGACATGACAGGCGCCCACGTGGCTGGTGGTTGGGGTTTTAATGGTGTGTGTGGGGATCTTCCAGGCACCTGTGTTTTGGGGGTTTGTTTGCAATTGTTTTTTAGCCATACAGATGCCCCCCCAACTTACAGTAGTTTGACTCGCAGTTTTTCGACCTCACGATGGTGCGAAAGCGATACACACTCAGCAGAAACCGTGCTCCAAGTTCTGAATGTGGCTCTCTTCCCGGGCTAGCGATACGCGGTTTCGTGGTCTGATCCTCCCCCGGTGATGCCGGGCCGGGGCCGCAGCTCCCAGCTGCCACGCGATCACGGGGGGCCACGGCCGATACACCGACAGCCGTCTGCACCCACACAGCCGGCCCGGCCGTCACTCTCAGAACAGCGTGCCGTGCATTCCAGGAGATATTCGATACTTTACTGTCAAATAGGCTTCGCGTTACAGGACTTTGCCCAGCTGTGGGCTAGTGTGAGCGCTCTGAGCACACTTAAAGTGGGCTGGGCTACACTGTGATGTCTGCTAGGTTAGGTGTGTGAAATGCATTTTTGACTTAATGATATTTTTGATTTATGATGGGCTTTATCAGGACCTAGTGCCATCCTAAGTCAAGGAACATTTGTATTTAGAGGCTTGGAGGAAGATGCTCTTCTGTTATGAATCAAATTCTATTTCACGCTGACCCTAATTGTAATTGCCAGGCAGCTGGAGCTTAATTTAAGTTCTTCAACTGACAGTGTATCCTAGGGCTTTGATTTTAATTTTCTTTGTTCTTTGGCTCTTCGACTATTTGATAATCTCTAAACAAATGATTGAGAGAAGAGTTCCCTACTGCGTAAAAGGGAGAGTTCCTTGGAAATCTGTATGATGGCCTTCTGATTCACGTTTCATGATCCATGTGCTCTGTGAGTTTTCTTGACATGAGAGCGATTTCCTATATATACATGGAATAGACTGTAAGATCTTTTCTTCCTTCAAAATTATGCCTCAGAAAAAAGGGGTCACATTCTATTCCAGACCTTACAAAGGATTTCGGGTTATGAGGCATATTCTGAAATGTTTTCTGGACACAGAAGTGCTGTCTGGAGAACATGCAAGAGTGTGAATGACTGACTTGGGGGCTCCTTCTCAACAGTCGTGCTGGGACCAGCGGCCTTGGCATCCCCTGCGAGCTTGTTAGAAATGCTGATTCCCAGCCATGCCTCAGACCTGCTGGGTCAGAACCTGGGGAC